TGTGCTTGATGAGTGGTATATTATATTTGAAAAGTTGTATAAGTAAGAGTTGTCTTTTGATTGGTTGTTTGTTAATCACATGGATCACAATCTATGACCATTAAAATTAAAATAGATGGTCAAGATTTAACCTCCTTGTTTTAAGACTTTGGTCTTAAAATTTGATAGGCCCCACAATTATGTATACATTATAAAGTAGTAAGATATATGGAGTAAAGTTAAAAAAAAATTACACGAAATCAAGGGAGTCAAGACCACCAACCAATCACAGGCCGCGGTTGTTTCTAGCCGCAGTGCAGCCAAGACCGCACGAGACCGCACCCTGGGGGCGGTGTTTGCGGTTGACGTGGCACAATCGCGGTTCCAAACCGCACTCCACACCCATTAGCCTAATGGTCCTTGGGACTGCTACCATTCATATTCCACTGATAAATAGAGCGAAAATGACATTTTAGGGTAACTAACTGTGGCGTTTGTTTTCATTTGCTCACTTTTTTTTTGTATTCAATATACCATCGAACTTGTTGTTTGTGCTCACCATAACCCTTTTGACCGGCTTTTGACCTGTGATAGTCGGTCAAAGGGTAATGGTGAACACAAACAACAAGTTCGATGGTATATTGAGTACAAAAAAAAGGAAAGAGACCAAATGAGAACAAACTCAACAGTTGGTTACCCTCTTGAGTCATTTTCCTCGAAAAGTTAAATGAAATTAAAGTTGCAAAATTATCAAAGACTGCAACCTTCTTTGGCCATAACGTATATGAAAAGCGTTTCGAATGGGTAACTTCGTTAAAACAAGGTCTATGCTATTCTTACTATGGTTAGTTGTCAACACCTTTCTCCAAAAGGATATGACTGTGTATGAGAGATATATTTATCAGCATAAACGTTTACCACAATGTATATTATGGTGATGTGTCTGCAAAAGCTGCATGATATTGTACATATTGATGTTGTATCTTATCCCATGAATTCAATCTTAAAGTTAAGTAAACTAAAAAATCACAACACTTGTGATTCCACTCGTTTGTAGACTTGTCTAGAATCCATGATACGATAAATCATTTGATGGGAAAAGTAAATGTAGTCATTAAATGCATCTGCTTAGTCAAGATTCCCATAATAAGTATTCAAGTGGATTACAAAGTTGTACATGTACGAATAATGTTATTTCGTGGGTTATGTTTTGAAGAGAAGCAAGAATGAATCTCATAAAGTCATTAATATCAGCAGGAGATGACGTGAGATTTGCTGTAAATGTGTAAAGGGAAAATGAATCAGGAGGGTAACCAACTGTTGCATTTGTATACTTAATATACCATCGAACTTGTTGTTTGTGCTCACCATAACCCTTTGACCGGCTATCACAGGTCAAAAGTCGGTCAAAAGGGTTATGGTGAACACAAACAACAAGTTCGATGGTATATTGAGTACAAAAAAAAGGAAAGGGACCAAATGAAAACAAACGCAACAGTTAGTTACCCTAGAGAGTTATTTTCCCATAAATAGATGTGAAATGATAAAAGTAGCTCAATTGTTTTTTTTTTATAATCTTGTTTTTTTTACAAAACTTGAGGGGCCATTTTTGTAAGAGGATGACCATAACTTAGGGGCTGTTTGCCTGTTTAGTAGGATCTGAATTTTTAAGATCTGAATTTTTAAGAGGTCTGAGTTTCTAAGAGGGTCTGAATTTTTAAGACCTGAATTTATAACATATTGTTTGGTTAGAACCTCTGAATTGTTGTGCTGAATTATAAAAATGACCATTTTACCATTCTGTATTATTCTCAATTCAATGTTTCTGTTTTATATAATTACATAACCATCTTTTTAAATAATCATAAAAGATATATAAACAACATTCAAAAACTTAAAAACATGATAACAAATTCTATTATATTGATCAAAATGTACAAATCTAGAAACATTTAAAAGAAAAAAAATTAAACTATCGAATTCCCAAAGGAAAAGAAAACATGTACTATATGAAAAACAACAAATGGACTTTCAAGGTAAACAAATACATCTAGACTCTTTCCATCATTACCATTTTTTCTTTCCAACATTTCAACCTGCAAATCCAAATTCTACAAGGAAACAAATAGGCTCAATGGAAAATTATACAATCATTAATGGAGGTATTTTCATTGACTTCAAAATTGAATTGATCATCAAAAACTGAAAATTATTAGATTATAATGGAAAATCCATATCAAATTTGTAAGATTCCAATCAAACCAATAATCCATATGAAGAAAGCCAAAAATTGTCCCATGGATGTTAGGAACGGCAAGGCTTGTCCAACCATATACGTTACTTTGGATATACAACAACAGTACTATGAAATTTGTTTAGTTTGGATATACAGCTACAGTGCTATGAAATTTGTTTAGTTGCAAACTACAAAACAACTCTTCATTCTCATATAAATTATTGGATTAAAGAAATACATGATGCATACTCAAACTAATTACATCTAGACATATGCAATATCTACCAAAACTCGTCTGTTTGACTAAAAAAGTCAATGATATTGCAACAAATCAACATAATTTCAGCTGTGAATTTCAAGCATCAGAACAAACTACATACAATTTCAGCATGGAAAACTCGATTTTCAGAGGAAGAACAAACCACATAAAAAAAGCCCTAATATCTTGAACTCGATTTTCATAGGAAGAAGAAAAGAAAATAGCACCCAATAATCGATTTCCAGAGGGAGGAGGAAATTAACAATAAAAAATACAAGCAACACATTCTAGAAAAAAGTCTCCAACTCTACGAGTTTTGGGGGAAAGAAGAGGAAGAAACTCTTACCTAGAACCGAATACCTGATTACTTTGACGAAGGGAGCCGTCAATAGAGGAGGAGGCGTCGTTGGAGGAGTTGTCGCCGGTGGAAGGAGGTAGGTCGGAGAGGGTGAGAGGGAGAAGTGGACGCGAAGGGGAAGTGGGCGCTGGTCTGGTGAAGGCGAAGGAAATTAACGAGCGTTCATAGGGCACAAAAGGAAAAACGCGTTATTTTTTAAGTTCAAACTTGGTTTCACATCTGAAAGTTTAAGAGGCAATTAGAAAATTAAGATGTAAAAAATAAGATCCTAACAAACAAGCTGAATCTGACTTTTTAAGAGTCTGCCTCTTAATTTTTCAATTAAGAGTTAAACAAACAGGCCCTTAGACTTATTGTTGGACGTGTTAAGAGGATTATCATAGTGCCCATGATATTTAAGTTTGAGGTCTAAATGGTCATAAACCTATTATGTTAGAGATAACAAATGTTAAAGAAAACACCGATTGAGATACAATCGACAAATAGACTTAGTGGAGAGAATAATCTTGTCAACATAAGATAAGTTTTGAAGACTTAAGCCTTAGATTTACTGTCTTATTTATTTGGACATTTAGAGGAAAGAAAAAGTCGAGACCTTCAATTAAAATGGAAAAAACTATTTTAGAATAGCTATAATAATTTCTTGTAGTTTTTAGCTTCAAATTCACTTTGAGAAACACTTAAGGTTAATCTATTTGTCTCTTAAATATTTTAATTTGAATTTTGAATCTATTCAATGGTGGATCATCTAAATGATCTATCACACTTAAAATTATTGGTGTTTCTAGTGATTTAATGTTGTTGGGAATGGATTCTAGTGGTCCATGTCCAATCTATTAAAGTGACATAATTGGTTAATTAGGAAGTTATGGAATTTAAGTTTCTTCATGGTAGATCACCCAATGATCAATATAAATTTGAAGTTGATGGTTTAATTATTTATCTCATATGGTTTCAACATAGATTCAAATGTTTTATATTCGGTTCATTGATGAAGATCCATTCAAATGCTTATTTTATTTGTTGACTTTTGAAGTTATGATGATAAAGAAAATGCTTATTTGTTGAGTTTTGAAGTATATGATGATAAAGAAAATATCAAAGTAAATTGTTCTAGTAATAAGAGAATGAAGAGTAAAGGGAGCCGGAAGCTCTAACCCCTACCAAACACGACCCGAACCCAAAGCGCGACCATATAGGGGCAACCTGAAAAAACATGCACAACCATCTCAACGCAATCCAAACAGCTATAGACTCCACCTTAATGCCCCTAGCCGACAGTAGTTTTTTCGTCGGAATGCTCCCTGTCTGATATGCCATAAACGAATTTTCAACTTGATAGGAACCCAATTATTCAATATAATATTCATCCCCTCCCCCAATGTATGATAATCCATGAAAACATGCGCAAATGACATCGGAAAATCATTGACACATCAAACAATGTAGGAACATAATTTCAACTTAAATATTGTTATTTTGTTAAAACAACGCATATTTCCCGAGGAATTGTTACATCAACTTATTTTCAGGACATTCCGAGATGATTTATACGTATCATTTTTTTAGTTATGTCATTTCTATCAAACAAACGTAATTTTGCCTCTAATTTGTGCTATTTCTCTACTCGTTAGTTATCAGTCATCAATCACGAGATATGTTCAACTAACTAAATAATTGTTGAAACACCATCATGATGGGGAAAAAAATTAGATTCTAAGATAACCGATTTGAGTTAAAATAGTATTTAGATATTTTATTTCTTTTAAGGTATGTACAAATTTTATGTAGGTTTGATACATGTCAAATAAGTAATATTTTCTTATAAAAATCTTTTTCAAAAGCTCTAGCTCGACCTTTTAGTCTTCTTTAAATGTTAATATAATACAATGATTCAAATAATCATCAAAACGGGTCCATAGCTCAGTGGTAGAGCATTTGACTGCAGATCAAGAGGTCACCGGTTCGAACCCGGTTGGGCCCTCTTTTTTTTAGTACTCCTCATATCCCAAAACAACCGTTATTTCCTGCTTACGGAAACTAATTACGTTACATAAACCATTTCGTTGGAATTAAAAATAAAGTCTTGAATATTCGTCGGTATATGCAGTCACATATCCACAAAACTTTTTCACCAATAGCATCAGTTTGATAACAATAAAAGTTTACTACTGATTAAATTGAACCTGGTTTTCATTAACCCAACTACACCCCGGAGTCTTCTTAATCCCCATTTCAATCATCTTCATCCTCAAATTTCTAGCATCCCCCCATCTCCCAGATTCTGCATAAATCCCTGATAACACCACATAATGAGCTTGATTTCTTGGCTCTAATTTCACAAGATTCTCCAATGCCAACTCAGCCACCTTCACATTACAATGCATCTGACATGCACCCAATAAACCCCCCCAAACTCCAGCATCAGCTTCCATAGGCATCGACTTAATTAACCCCAAAGTCTCATCAAACAACCCCGCCCTTCCCAACAAATCCACCATACAAGCATAATGTTCCAACTTCGGTTCAATACCATGTTTTTCCTTCATCGAACAAAAGACCTTTTTGCCCTCCTCAACTAACCCCGCATGTCTACAACCCGACAAGACGCTGAGAAAAGACACAGGGTCGATTTCGACATTATTATTTTCCATAAACAAAAAGAAACCAAACGCAAGATCCCCATGCCCATTTATCGCGTATCCTGCCAGCATTACATTCCAAGAAACCGTATCTTTATTCTTGATTTCATCAAAAACAATCTCTGAGTAATCAACACGCCCACATTTTGAATACATGTCAATAAGACTGTTCATGACAGGTGTATGAGAAAGAAAACCTGTACGGATGATGTCAGCATGCAAAGATGCACCTTCTTTAATGGCTGCCAAACTGGATACTACAGGAAGTATGCTTACAAATGTGACTACACTAGGCTTAAAACCTTCTGATTTCATTTGGCGAAATGTTAAAATGGATTCTTGAAGATACCCATGTCGCAGATATGCTCCAATCATTACATTCCATAGCACCCCATCTTTAATTTTTGTCATACAGAACAACAATTCAGCTGATACAAGGCTTTGACTTTTTGCATACATGTCTATAAGAGCATTATTAACATGACAATCTGATTCAAACCCGTATTTCATAACTAACCCATGAATGTTACTTCCAAGATTTATATCACCTAAAAAGGCTGCTACCAAAACCACACCCACCATGGTCCCACTATCAGGATGCAAATCTGATGATGACTGTAATCTGCAAAACATAGTGACTGCAAGATCAGTCTCACCAATCTGTGCATACCGATTGATCAAAGCATTCCATGCGACTACTTCTTTATGCAACATTCTCTCAAAAACAGTGATTGCTGAATTAAAATCGTCACATTTAGCATACATTGCAACTAGGGAAGTTTCTATTGAAGTATCTGAATCGATGTTGTGTTTAATGGTGTAGCTATGGAGACTCTTTCCTAGTTTCTTGGATGATAACTCTCCACAAGCTGGAAGAACACCAACTATGGTTACCATACTTGGTTTAAAATCAAACTGCATATCACGAAATAAAGAAAGGGCTTCTTCATGGTAACCAGATTGGGTAAAAGCTGCAATCACTGCAGACCAAGCAACCATATCTTTTCCAGAAAGGTTACTGAATAAATCTTGAGCCTTTTTTAACTCACCACACTTTGCGTACATTGTGATGAGAGGAGTGGATACACGGATATCATAATCAAATTTGTTTTTCTTCACACATTCGTGGATTATTTTTCCTTTTTCTAAATCTTTTGTTTCACCAGCTGCTGATAAAGCGCTTACAACTGATACGATATTTATGTTTAGATGATTGTTCTTCATTTGATCGAATAATTCCAGGACTTCGTAGTGACACCCGTTATGTGAAAATCCTGCCATTAGTGTACCCCATGAAACGTCATCTGGTTCTTGCATTAGGTTAAATATCTGGAAGGCGATGTCTGTTCTTTTGCACTTGGAGTAGACATCGATCAATCCGTTCATAACTGTGTTTGGAAATTTTCTTTTAATTACATATCCATGAATACATTTGCAGAATCTAACGCTAGAGAACTTATGAATTGCTGGAAATAAATTCAACAGGGTAACGCTATTTGGCTCCACTCCATCTCGCAGTTGCATACTCTGGAAAATTTCAATTGCCTGAGTAAAATCCGTACTTTGTGATAACCCAGATACCATCGCATTCCAGACCACTATGTCTTTCTTAGGTATTTTATCAAACACTTCACGTGCGTGAACCAAATGCCCACATTTACAGTACATATCGATAAGTCCAGTCCCTATGAAAACATCAGATTCCAATCCTTTCTTAATGATCTCTTCGTGAAGCGAAATACCCTTTTCAATGTCCAAAAGCTGAGTACAAGCTTTTAGTACAAATGTGTAAGTATACTTGTCTGGTTGTACTTCAAAAGAATCGTTGTTTGTCATTTTATTGTACATAACGATTGCTTCTTGATGCTGCATTGATCTTATATGAGCTTTAATCATCGAATTCCATAAGACAGCACTTGGGTTTGGTGTAACATTGAAAACTAATCGAGCAAGATTGATTTTTTTGAATAAAGTGTAAGATTCAATGAGACGGCTGTTTGTGAAATTGTCTTGCGTGAAACCTGAGACTATTAATTGCGTGTGGATTTGGAAAATATGTTTTAGGGTTTTACGGATAGAGATGAGGGTGATTAGATGGTGGTGATGGTTACAATTGTTTGAGGGTAATTGTGAAGGAAAAGTAGATAAAGTTCTAGAGAGGAAATCAAGGGGTCTTCGTAGTTGCTGATTATGATTGAAGGCGTTCAAGAGATGGCTTCGTTTCATCCTTCTGGTTCGAGTGTCATGGAAGACGATGGAATTAAAACATGCTAGATTTTACCAGCGAGAATAAAGCATTACAAAGAACTACATATGTGTTGACCATGGCGTTTGACGGCGCCGGACACAAGTAAGGATCATCTTTTCCGTTAAAATCCGTTAACGGATATATGTGGATATATGTGACATCCATGTAGGGCGAGCAATGAGGTTGTTTAGGGGTCAACATTTGGACCTTTGGATTGGATTGAGAATCGGATCTGGACAGGATGTGAACCGCTCTCAACATGTTCGGTCTAAGCCATCAATTTTTGTAAAGTCGGTCCGGTCTGGTTCGGTCCAAATACTAACACATACAATCGTAATAGATAAACTAACTTTCAAGCTTCAATGAGTTGTACTGTATGCACCTAAAGTTGTACCAGTCCAACGACTACAAGAACCGAAAAACCTGGACCCGGACCTAGACTGGCCTCAACTGGTCCGGTCAGAGGACCACCAATTTCTACCAAATCGGTCCAGTCCAAAAATCAGTCCGATCCAGTTCGGTTCGAATGCTCACCCATATGTAGTACAAATGTTAGGTTGATTAAAAAAAATTAAATATAAATAAGTAAAAACTTCAATCTATATTAATAAAAGAAAACTATTGACATATTTTAAAAAAATTGTGATAAATCATAAATTTTGAAAGACTTATTTGAATACAACATTAAATGTTTTATTGTTAAGTTTAGTTACATTGTTTAAAATTAATATGTTTAATCAATTTTTGATGTTAACTCTCGAAAATACAACATACAACTATCCATGAATAAATATTGGTTGTCTCCAAAACTTCGAAATTTTAAGAATAAATCCGAAATCCGATGAACAGTGCTAGATTTTCAAGCAAAAAATCCATTTTTTTCACTTAAATCTAACAAAAAACTAAACAAATATAGTAAATGTAAACTATATACAATATTAGAGCATGAAATCAGACATTATATTGAAAAATTGTGACATCAAACACTTCGAAATGGATATTTCGGACATAAGTAGTCATATTTCTTTGGAATAAAACAAAAAAGAACTCCGAAATTTGACGATTAGATCTGAAATATGACATTTGGGAGTAAGTGATAATTTTTCGGAAACCGAAAAAATAGTTATTCTCTTAAAAATCTTATTTATAATGATTAGTTTACTCAATATCCTTTTTTTAAATACAACAAATGGGACATTAAGGTTGTAAAATAATGCTTAATTTTTTTTTTCATGTATGTATAAAGCTAATTACATATTTCTATCCAGAACAATGAAGGAAGTTAAAATTAAAATCAAATTAAAAAAATATGTTAATATTAAACTATTAAGATAGTTTACAACTCTTAAATATTAAAAAAATATTAAAAAAGTAAACATGTTATAACTCGATATAATTTGGAGTAAATTATGTTATTTAAACTAATTGTTGATGAATTTGTTTGTACATAACATACAATCAAAAACAAATTGAATTTTACCATGTCATAGGTACTAATTAGCGAATTGTAGTAAACTATGTCATTAAATTAATTTTTAAAATTTTAAAATTAGAAGGAAAGTATGCATTAATGAAATTGATATCCATTTATTATTACATTTATTACAATTACATTTATTATTATATTTGTTACAATAAAATGAAAAAAACATAAAATGTCATGAAATTGATATATTATTACATTTATTACAATAAAATGAAAAAAACATAAAATGTCATATGAAAAATATTAATTTAAAATAATCACAAAATGACATGTGACAAAATGAATGAGAGTATAAAATATAGTAATTTTATTTATTTATTAAAGTATATTTTTTTGGCTAGTTCAATTCGATTTCTTGGTCTTTGCATACAATGTTTTTCGGTTCAAATTCAAGATTTTGGTAAGTATTCGTGTTTTGCGTTTGTGTTTTAGGTTTTTTCGGCATTGTTCAATCATTTATGGTTCGTTTTTTTGGCATTTTTATTTCATAATCAAATAAAACTCTAATATTTTGAAATTGTAGTAAATTATGTCATTAAACTAATTTAGGAATTTTGAAATTTAAACAAAAGTCTTCATTAATGAAATTGATATATGTTTATTATTATATTTAGGGAAATTGGCTTATCATGATAATTACTGGTGGGATGTCAAGTCCACCAAGCAAATTACACCATTTGATTTCTAAATAAACGTAATATAATGGTAAAAAGGGGTATCGATCCTCGGGGAAATGGTTGTATTCAATCACCAATGCAATTCAATAGAACTAGTGAAATTAAACTAACTAACTACAATTAAACTAAAGGGGGGGGTGTTTGATTACTTGAAAACTAAAATACTTGAATAACTAAAAACCTTGCAATTAAGCAAGTTGATGAGATGCTCAAAGGTTGGGAATAATTGGTTAACTAAGGCAATTCAACACAATGAACATTTGTGTGTTTATCATTAGGATCTAATACAAAGCTTATCCTTCATCCCAAATTGGTTATAGCAATCATGAAGCATGATATGCCAAGATTCCTCATAGGTAGTATGGAGGTTGGGGAAGCCCACGACACACCTTCTTAATTAAGATCAAGGGTCAATTGAAGCAATTAATCCCAAGAAATCAATTAGCCTTAAGAATGAAGGAATCCCCAATTCCTAGAGGATGTCAAATGCTTACACATCCATAAAGGAGCTATGATTCATAAGCTAGAGATGATTTCTACCATCATAAAGCCTTTGTTCTATATAAATTCAATGATCCAATGCAAAATAAATGAAACAAATCAACCATTGCTCAATCAAATATTAAGCTCATGATCAAAGCATCAAATAAGCATAAGAGTTGTAAACTAGAATCATAAACATGGAATAAATTGATAATCAACATAAATCCTTCAAAACCCACAAACATTCATTGGTTTTCAGCAAAAGTCAACCAAATAAGAGTATTAGCCACTCATGGCAACAAAGTAACAAGAACAATAATTAATTTGCATCAAGAATCTACCTAAGACTTGAAAAGATGAAAGAAATTGAGTATTTTACTCTCCAAATCGTCACTTGCAGGTCTCCAATGGTGGAAAATTTGTAAATGAGCCTCTAGATCTGATCCCCCAGAGTTATTGTGAGCCAAATGACCAAAATACCCAAACTGGGCAGTTGCGCGGGTACCCGCGCAGCCAAAATTCCACCCGCGCAAATGCTGCTGGAATGCTATTGGTCCACCATTCCACTACTCCACCCTTCCACTACCAAAGATTCCTTTGGTCCCCCCCCCCTCTTATCCATGTAATTTGAATCCACCAATCATCATTTAGCCACTAAATGGATGCTCCAAGCCCAAAATTAGAAATTTATGATCCATCTTCACAAGCCCAAATAATCCAAGCCAATAACTTTCAAAGCCCAATTCTTCTTCTTTGATTCCGCCAAGCCCAATAATGCTTCGGGATCCCACTAAGCCGTCTTCACTCAAATCCACAATCACAAAAAGCTCCAAAACCCTGCAAAATTCCTCATGCAACATAACAAGCCCCCGATACGATCCATGATAAAGAAAATAAAGAATATACAATGCAATACTAATAAAAAGAGCTAAAAATCTAAGATAAACTAATAAAAATAAGGAAATAAAATAAGCTATCAATTACCTTTTCGTTTTGTTTGCATTTTGATAATTTTTTTTAATACACATCTAGGTAATGAATTTGTTGGAAGTGTTCACATATGACCATTATGACTGACTGTAACAAGTTACATCTTACGTGAAAACGATAATTACCTAAGAAGGTAAAAAACTATTGGTTTTGTTCACATATAGACAATTTTTTTGTTCACATTCGACCATCCAACTTGTTAAAATTGTTTATATAATATCGTTGTTTTAGACATTTAAATTGGTAGTTGAAGTCGTTCGTCCAACTTGTTGAAATTGTTCACATAATGCCATTATTTCTGAAATCGAGACATTTGGTTCGATCTGAGACAAAAACATCATTTGATTCTTCGGATGGGATTCGAGCCAGACGATTAAACTTTTGTTTTATGATTATTATCCTAATGAAAGCTTGAACTCAGTCCTCCATTGTGTTGGGACTGGTAAAAGAGGAGCATAGTGAGAAACAAGGGACGAGGTTTAGTAAGTGGGAGAGTAGAAGAGTGGGAACTAATTGAATTTTCTGGTTTTGTTCTTTTGTAACAAGTCTAGTGAGCTTAAAATCACCAAGGTAGGGTTATAGGTTCGGACCCAATAACACATTCATCGCTTTCACATCTACATGTAAAATAACGAACACACAATCATGATGTAGATACGTGAGAGCATGAGCCATGCCTAGTATAACCTCGTACATACTCTCCTACTTTTCTCCTCGTTTCCTAGTCCATGCATCATGGAGGAACAAGCTCAAGTTTCCATTAAGATAATAATTGTACACCAAAAGTTTAATCGTCTAGTTCGAACCCCACCCTAAGAAACAAATGTTGTTCTTCTGTCAGATTGAACCAAATGTCTCGATTTCAGAAATAATGGTATTATGTGAACAACTTCAACAAGTTAGACGAACGAATTTAACTACCGATTTAAATTTCTTAGACAATGGTGTTGGATGGTCGAATGTGGACAAAAAAAATTGCCTACATGTGAAAAAAAAATTGCATACATGTGAACAAAACCAATAGTTCATTACCTTCTTGGATAATTATCTTTGCCACATATATGCCACATATAAGTCACGTAAGCTGTAACTTGCTATAGTCGGTAATAATGATCATATGTAAACACTTCCAACAAATTTGTTGCCTACATGTGTACAAAAAAAGAATTTACCAAAATATAAACAAAGAGAAAAAGGTAATTACCATGATAAGTCAATTTATTACAATTATTACATATAAATATTCCATAAAGTTTACTAAAATGGAAAAAACCATAAAATGTCACGTGAAAAAAAATCAATTTAAAATTACTATAAATGCAATGTAGCAAAAAAGATTTTTTTATTTATAAGAGTAGTTTGATAACCTAATTCAGCGATGTGTGCATTTACGTTAACAAGAGAAGTTAAATATACTTCTATTTTTTGTTTTTATTTATTTTTTATTTATATAAAATAATAATATTTGAAATCTATTAATTCTCTTTTTAATATATATTTTTTTGATTTTCACGCGAAAAATTAAATACCATCCTATAAGGACCAAAATTGTAATTATATAAATTAAACATTATAGGGACCAAAACTATATATATTTTAAATTTAGAAACTATAAGGACTAAAAGTATAACTAATGCAAATGATAAATTATCAAGACCAAAACTGTAATTATTGAAATTGATAATTAAAAAGTTTATCTAACTTCCCCGTTTTAGAAATTTAAAAAAGGAGGGGTTACACAACCCCTACACAAAACATGTCAATAGAAATCTTAGGTCCTCCTCGAGTGAGATAATTGTCACCGATCTTTTACTTGCGCTTAACAAAAAACAATCTCTCTCGTAATCTGATCACACATTTGACTATTTTCTGTTGTTGGATTTGAAACGTTAATTGTGATTTTTATAGTGATATTAATTTATGTGGATACATTGCTATTCCTTTTCCTGTTTGATTCTCATGTTTATCTTTGTGTGCGGAGGTTGATTTCTTATAACAGATAGCTTACATGTTTGAGGTTATGGTTATGTTAACATCATTGCTTCATCTATTTATGTTTATTTGAGCCACTACCGATATCATTATATGTAATGTGTCGTGATTACTTGTATGCAAATTTAGGTTTTCGGGTTTACCCAAGTCATAGTAGTTGCTTACATATAGTACACTCTTAGAAATTTACAATTTACAAACGAGTTTGTGAGAATTCAGTTCCGTGATTATTTTCATTCTCAATATGTGAATATATATGTACATGGTTATACTTAAAAGTATCCATAACAAGTCTAATTTAATGTAAGAGTTGAATGATGTGAAATGTATAATTGACATTCAATGGACTTAACTTTATCATATGTTAGTTTTATGAATATAAAGTTCGGTGACCATTGAAAAAATGAACTTTTTAAATTCTTAAGTTGTTAAATATATGTTCCACTGATCTAATGCATTATAGAAATTTTCGTTAAGATTGTTTAAAGAGTGGAATGATGATGACATTCTATAGAAATGTAACGTTATGAAAATATCTACCTAATATGATTTGTTGGACTAGATAAATACAATAAATAAGATATGTATCACTAACAGAGTAACAGAGTTTAAATTTTGTAGTATTGAATTGAAAATTTGACTATAAATTGCAAAAAACTTGTGATCCAACAAAAGGTACATATGAATTGGTACTATATTCATATCATGCTTCATCAAGTTTTAAACCAAGTTAGAGTACTACTCCCAAATAAATACAGTATTAGGAACTAATGTCATAATTTGGATTCATTTGGGTTACAATTTTTGCTCTCAACCCAATCTTCACATTCGGTTACTCTCGACTGTTTCTGAAAATTACACGTCTATACACTACTAACATCTCGTCGAAAGAAGTGATTATATCAGGGTACAATAACAATGGTGCAAAATTAGGTTGATTCTATCATTCTATTAGGCCACATGCAAGCTACACTAGTTGACTAGTAGTTTCCGCTTCCAGGCATAAAATTATGCTTTCCAAAACATAGGCTGTTGATCTCAGGAGTTGATATGGGAACCAAACACAGGCCTCTCTCACGGAGCCCGCTTTCTGCTTCCTCATTCTGTTTAACATATGATTAGAAATCAAAAATCTGAAAGTATATACATATGCACTAATCAAACTCAAAAACCTGATAATCCAAAATTCATATATTACCCAAAATTGTACTGGTCGAACATTGTCTGTTGAATTCTGTGTTTTCTGCAGCAACTCCTGTTCACCAAAGAAAACCCTTATCTAAGATTAATATCATATGATTATGTTCCTTATAAATTAGCCTTTTAAGGAAATTAAGTATACGTACCTGAATCTGATGATGTAGAAAATTGATAGAGATATGAGCTTCTTGAAGCACAGAAGCCGTGTCCGTCTGCACAGGAGATTCATTTGTTTGATCAATTCTTTTAATATCGCATATCTAGCTATCGCATTTTGATTTTGATTTGAATATGAAAGAAAATGGAGAAATTAAAGGGATGAGTAGAATCTGAAACATCCAAACAAAGAATAATGTTTAGGTAAAGGCTGACCTTGCCGTAAGGAGAGACAAGCTTTTGAAGGGCTGTGATTTTGTCAGCTAGCTTTTGGCTTCTTCTCATAGGCACCTGAACCAAGTATTTTATACTATTAACTGGTCAAAGGTGTCCAAATTATTAGTATATGTCATTAAGCACAATTAATATACCCTTTCTCTCACACGTCCGTTAACTCCTTGCATTCCTTCATGGACATGGTGTGCGAGTTTCTTGTTCACATTAATATTTTGATCACAACCATCATTCATACGTTTCCTCGGATTCTGTGTTGCCTGGAAACTCTAAATCATATATAAATGAACTTATGAGAACAACATTTTGTATATTCTTAAACTTAAAGATCACTACATATAAATTATTGTTGCAAAACAAAAGAAAAGTACTTGTAGACATTGCCAATCTGGGAGTTTTTCTCTTTGGCAATCCATTACTATCGAGGGGTATTGAAGAGGAAGAACATCGGTAATTATATGATCAGGCTGCTGCTGGTAGTAGTTGTACGATTTTGGTGGTTCCAGATGGAAGTCGTCGCTATAGAAATTTCTGTCAATATGTATCTACTTATTTAGTTATATATATATATATATATATATATATATATATATATATATATATATATATATATATATATATATATATATATATAAGACTGATCACAACCAACAACAATGCATGGCTCATGCATTGGATTAATTGTTCTACTTTCAGAAATGCATATACATGTGTATATTAAAATTTTTAAATATACATACACTCTGTTCTCCTCTGTTATTTCTGCAAGTTGTTGATTGAAGGATGAAGATGATGACGCTTCATTCATGTTCCCTGAATATCGATTTTTTCTTATGTTAGTTAAATCAAAATATTAATGAACCTGCGTATAATATATATAGTATATCTTTTTCAAGAACCCATCAAAGTGTTGAGAAAATGTGCTCACCAAAGTTATATATCTGAAATTTAGAGAATGGTAGGATGCGGTAGTTCATCCGTGACCTGAGTTTTTGTACACGTGGCTAATATATTAGCCTGCAAAAAGGAGGAATGGTTAATTAAGAGCACATGATTAACATTAATCACCAAAAGTGCAATTTAGTAAAGTGTATCGAATCCATGAGAATTCTTGTGGTGTTTTGAGGAAATGGTGTAAAGAGTTGTACCACAAATTCAAAATACATATGATGAAAATATGGGAGTTGATAAGTTCATCAGTGCTGCATGGTCATCTATATAACTATGTATCAAGGGCGGCTGCCCCCTGTGAAGGTGTTTTAATTAATCTTGGTTGACTTGGCTATATTTATTAGTTTGACTTGTTTAATTTAGTTGTGTTATTTAGATTAACCATGTAAACCGTCCTCTTTGATTATTTTACTCAAATTATTAATTTTAAACCAACAAAAAGAATCATCAATTATGTTATTATGTACATAAAGAATCCTCATTTTAGAACCCCAAACACAACACACTCCAGCTGAGACACACATTTCCACAAACACCTGATACCGCTAGGCTACAAACCCTTTGATTAAAATGAAAAATACAAACACTCTACTATTAAACAATTCCATTTGTTTCCAGCGAAACTTGAATCCTCAACCAATCACATACTCGTAATGAGCTACAAACATCATCCAAAAATTATTCAATATAGGTTGCATCTCTTATCTCAAACGTCAGTTTAAAAAAATAAAAAAAATGTACTTCTAGCTAAAATGAAATTAGCATATTTTTTTGTATAAATATGTCATAATTACAAAACCTTTTAAACATGAAAAACATATTGACAGATTAAACAATTGAGATGACCCTTTTCATTTGACCAATATTAAAATATTGATCGTTTTGAACCTTTAGATAACCTAATTTGTCATCTTTAATAAATGGTTTTCGGCAGTTTTGAAAACGTTGATGCTATATGTTTTGTTTTATATTGAAAATACGAAATAAAAAATTTGATAAAAACGCAAAAACTAATTTATTTGTGGTTGTCTTCTTTATCCAGCGCAAAGACTACTTTGTCCATCGTGCATGGTCTTTTGCGGCTTGTCACTGCCCTAAGTATAGATGTGTTTGACTTCGATTAATACAGTTGACCAACCATCTTGATTCCGTTTGAATTTTTGCATTATTTTTCATTAAACAAACAATATAATTTTTTTTATTCTTGCGGTAGATACTTAGGGGCTGTTTGTTTTTTTTGTGAAGATTTGCGAAACCACTTTTGTCTGCATCGCGCAGACATATGTCCTCGCAAAATGTTTGTTTTTTGGAAGTGCGCAGATCAAAAAACGTCTGCGCGAGGTTTTCCTGGCGCAGACATGGGTCACTGTCTTCAAAGGTCTTCAGACCTCATTTTAACCTAAACCAAAAAAAAAAAAACATGGGCCACCGTGCAGTTTTTTTTTCTTTTTTTGCCGAAAATGCATTTTAATGTTTATGACATGAAATTAAGTTTGAAAAATCAATTTATTTCAACAACTGCAGATGTTAAAAACAAACAGTCTTCTTATTGCAGACTGCACACATTTAGTCCACCTCTTCTGCCGCAGAGGCTTAAAGATGTGGTCCACAAACTGCAGACATTTTGGCTTTAAAAAAGCGAACAACACCTTATAGTTTATGACACAGGATATATAAAAACTTTTAAAAACATTTCAATTTATAAAAACTATTGTCCGCATGAAGATTATAGACAAAATTGCAAAAATAGTCAATGTGGTATGTATTTTTTTGGGGTTTTCGTCCAAACCTCGATGTTTTTGGCTTTATTGTCCTTTTGGCCATGTTTCTATGTGGAAATAGTCCCCGTTAAACTTAAAATTATTAATATGCCCTTTTAATTTGTTTTTCTCATTTTCCTGAACATTTTATCATTTATTTTAATATTAACTAGGAAAGAGCCCATGCTTCGCATGAGTTGGAAATAATTTAAAGTTTCCTAAAAAAAAATTGGATGAAAATAATTTAAAGTTAACAAAATTTTGTTTGGATACCTAACTGAGAAGAAGAAAGCTAACTATCTACTACATTGAAAAATTGTTTTCCTTATAATTTTTTTAAAAGTTACAACTTATAATCATACAATGGCAAGAAAACCAATAAATTAACTTTGCTTTTGATATCCCATCCACTCATTAAACATTTAAACGAATATAAATTCTCATATAAAAAGTATCAACATCGAAAACGTAAAAAACATGTAACACCGAAATCCAAGAGTGTATAGTAGGGTTGACTACCCATTGATCAAGGAAGAGCCAAATGTGTAATAACCACAAAATATTGTGCGGAAAAAGTATGTGTAAAAAATATCGAAATAGAACAATGTTTGAAAAAGTATTAAAATAGAACAATGTTGGAAAAGGAAGGGACCAAATTGACAATTAAACATACTTCTGGGCGGAGACTGTAGTAATAAAAATTGAAGGGATGTAAATTGTGAAACCACAATATTAGAAAAGGAATGGACCAAATTGACAATTGAACATACTTGTGGGTGGAGATTGTAGTGGTAAAAATTGAAGGGATGTAAACTGTGAAACCCCCAAAAAGTGGTGGCAGAAACCTTAAACTCTAAAATTTACTGTTGAAACTTGTCATGTGCTTTAATATATATATATATATATATATATATATATATATATATATATATATATATATATATATATATATATATATATAATGTAATAAAAATAAAGTGGGGCCCACCCCACCTCCCCCCTCTCTCCCTCTCTCTCTCTCTCTCTCTCTCTCTCTCTTCAAAGCAAAGAAGCGATTCCGATTCAACAACAAACACACACAGATACTTGCCTTCAATTGATCATCCTCCTGATGGTAAGTGATCTCTACGAATTTGTGTTGCATCATATGATTATCTATTTCTTTCGCTACATACACACCCAAACACGATGTGTATTCCGAAGTTATTGAATCTCTTTATTTGGTAACATGATGCAGTTATTTTGGTTGATTTGTGTTAGGGTTTTTGCTGAATATTGCCAATTCGAGAGGTGTATGCTTTGAAGTGGTTTCAGTAAATGGCATGGGAAATCCAAGAGCCCTTTCGGTCAAAATTTCAGGTATTCATGGTTATTATCTCAACTAGATCTGATTTATCCGGCTTTGGATTTTGATTCAGAATTTTGCTTTCCGTCTTTTGTATTACGTGTCTTTTATTATGTCGGTTTCGTGTTAATTGCCTACCCTGGTAAACCATTAAATTTCTTCTGTATATCGACTTGTAACAAAATTTCTCACGTATCACATATTCACATTGAATGATTATTCACTACATAATTTTTTGATTGAATTTACTTCCACTATTTATCTATCTTGTAATTTGTGATCTTAAAGGTGGAATGTGCAAATATTTAAGTTTCAGTTGATTTGTTCAAATGAATGGATTTTGATGTCTGGTTTATTCAATTATACAGGCTGACCTCCTGCACTCTGGTTCAATCTCCTTTGGAAGATTTGAATCTGAATCATTATCTTGGCAAAGAAGATATTTTTTTTCACAATAGATACCTTGAAGAGGTTGAGAAATACTCAAAAGCAGATTCAGTTATAGAGAATAAGGCTTATTTGGAGAGAGAGAGAGAGAGAGAGAGAGAGAGAGAGAGAGAGAGAGAGAGAGAGAGAGAGAGAGAGAGACCTCTCTTTATTTCTTAATTATATATATATATATATATATATATATATATACTAAATTAAAAAAAATGAAAGAAAAATGAAAAATAAATACATGAGGGGCATTACAGTCATTTCAGTTTACCGAGGGACCAAATACGCATCGAAACTAGGCTAAAAGGACCACCAATCCAAAAAAATCGAGGTTTGGACTAAACCTAAAAAAAAAATGCATACCACAAGGAGCATTTTTGCAGTTTTGTCAAGATTATATGCCATATTTTTAGAAGACAAAATTGCAAAAATGATCCTTGTGGTTGTCAAAATTCTATGATTTTGGTCCAAAAAGTTTTTGTGGTGCACCAATGGTCCAAAATTCAATCTTTTTATTGGTTTTGGTCCCTATCCACTTAAAAATACGATTATACCCCTTATATTTACTTTTATTATTATTATTATTATTATTAATTTTTATGATTGTAAGTAATAAAAATTTAAAGAATGGCCCTCTCTCCCTCTCTCTCTCTCTCTCTCTCTCTCTCTCTCTCACCGTGGTACCTCTCATCTCCTCCACCCCTCTCTCATCTCTCAGGAAAACACACACTCAAGAACACCCCAAGTGCCACCACCATCTGCTAGCACCGTCCAATGCCCCGATCTACAGATTTTTATGCCACAAATCAGCAGATGCCGCCTAGAAACCTTCACACGCCACCAATCTGTTCGTACATCGGGGAAGGAGCAGCGACGACTTCGTTCTACACCATAGCTCCGGTGGAAGGAAGGAATAGTGGTGGTGACGGAGAAGTCAACACAGGTCGCATGTCATCACAGTTTTCCAGCCATCTCCTTCCTTAACTCAATGAAAACTCTCCTTCTCAGATCTCGTCAGTTTCAAAGCTCTTTGTAGTTGGAGGAACACCATGATTATTGTCGGATCTAGGGATTTCAAACCACCGTAGTCGCCATCTTCGCTCTTTATTTCTTCTCCGACGTTCGACCAGTTACAACATTACCTTGTTCGTCGAGTTAGAGCCACCATCGATGGTTGTGATCTACGAAAATCGATGGCTCCCAGATCTTTTCGAGATCTGTTCATCTCTGTCACGCACCAACAAGTAGAGTTTTCAGAGGGGGGTTGGTCTTGTTTTCAGGCCCATGATGAGAATGTTGGTGTTCCAGGAGAAGAACGACGGTGGTAATGGAAACTGAGGTGGTGGAGGAATTAAAATGAAATGAAAAGAGAGAAATGGACGGGTCTGAAACGATGGTTGAGAGAGAGAGAGAGAGAGAGAGAGAGAGAGAGAGAGAGGACAGAAGGGGTGGGTGGGTGGGTGGGATGATGATATTTTCTTTT